ATACCGATCTAATTTTCACTTAAACGTAAGTCTTGGCTATAGACTTTTGTCATTGAAAATACAGCTACCACATTCCCTGAAATGTATGAAGACTAATCCATTTAATTTTTAAGTAATCACATTATATGAATATAGCTGAGTTCACCTTCCTTTCCATTCACCCCATTCTCTCCCCAGGTCACCACACTCTTAAATTGATGTATACCTTTCCACATGTGGAAAGAGTTGTGCCAGGGTTGTGGACTCAAGTTTATGTTGTTTGTTTCACAGGCCATGCCTTACTTATTAGGAGCCAAGGAAGAATGTTGAAGGATATATAATAACTTCATTCCAATTATCTGTAATATAGAGAATTGAACTGAGAAGCATCCTTGTGTAATGAAAAATATACCGAATTCAGAGTCAGAAAACTTGCATTTTAGCCTCCTCTGCAATCATGGCTGGAAAATGAAGTTGATGTTTATGCAAAGTCACTTTACCATTAATGAAATGAAACTTCACTCTCAAAGTCTATGAGTTTCAACATGCAAATTATTTTTTCATTTTTGGGATTGGTAATTTCTGGATAACTGTAGAGTCTGGCTCATGCGGCAAGCGTGTTTGTACGTATAATGCGCTGGTTTCTTGTGTTTAGGAGGTGTTGCTACAACATGAATTTTTTTTTAATGTTGCCAGGACTAATTCTCTTCTATAATGATGCACTTAGATAATTTTGGATTTTTGTCACTTGTAGTTCTTTTTGTTCACTGTTCTTTTTTCCTTGTTGTTTTTAAGAAACTTGAAGGAGGGAATATATTCTCTCAGGAGACACAGTAAGAGCATGAGATAAAAGGAAAAAGAAAAATTTACCAGTAACCATTTAAACTTAAGAAAATGTCTTTCAAACAAATGTAGTTTTTTTGTTTTGTTTTGTTTTGGGTTTTTTTAAGATTTTTATTGGGGAATTGGGAGATGGGAACAGTGCTGGGGAATTGCGGGAAGGGGAACAGACAAATTGCTGTCGTTTTGTTCTTCAGTCTAGTTGTGGAGGATATTGCTTCACTGGCCCAAATTGGCACCATCATTGCACTCTTCCCGGGGGGGGGGGCAGATCAGTCGCTGGCTTCTGGACAGCCGCAGACATAGTTTTTAAAATTGCATTATTTATACTTTTTAGAAGCACTCAAACATTACCCAAATAGTTACTACTCATGATGAACAAGACTTTTGTTACCTTTTGATGTTCATCTATTGCTTTTAACCTTGCATATAACTTTTAAACATATTTAGAAATATGAAATTTCCACAGCTATATTTCAGAAAGCAACTAAAAAGAATTTTTTAAATCAAGTCAAATATATCAAATATTATTTGTGACAAAGTACCAAACATTATAATTAACCAAGCATTCTATTTAAAAATTCCTGAGAGAAAGCAAGCATAATATTGTACTGCTCTCTTAAAAGGTTAAGTTTTTAAAATAACTGTATGCTGCCATTACATTTTAGAGAACTTAAAAAAAAACATATAAAGAGAAGACATCACCAAAAACGGCAAAGTAAGGAACTCAAAGATTCCATGCCAAAAACTATCGGAATCAACTTTTGCAAAGCTCTGGATTCTAATCCAAAACTTACAACAACCAGGGGAAAATTTGTTGAGGAGAGAAGCTTGTGCATTGCAGTATGAGAGTGCTATGGTGTTTTAAATTGACAGGCCACCATTACCAACAACCTAGATCAGCTGGTGAAGGTTGCTAGTACCAGAGGAGAATTATGGACCTTACTCTCAAAGAATTGTGGCTGTAGATCTCAGGCAGGTTCTCCTCCAGCGCCAAAGATTTTCTATGTTTTGCTGACTCAGAGTCTTCCCTGGAGTGAAGTAGCTTTTGCCACAGCAGTTTGAGGCAAAGGATAACACTCAGGACAAATAATAACAGAAACAGAGGCCTGGGAGGAAGAGGCTGGGAAAGGAGATACATGGGGGAATAAGGGCTTTTTACAGTTCACTAATATTCAGAGGAATTGAGAAGGTCACATATGTGCCCAGAATAGGATGCCTGTGCTGGAAAGGCCTGAGGAGACCCAAAGCTCTCACCTCTGGCTGACTTTCAGACTCTGCACAAGAAGAAAGTGAAAACTAATGCAGACTGAGAAAGACAAATACCATATGATCTCACTTATATGTAGAATCTAAAGAACAGAATAAACAAACAAACAAAACAGAAATAGACTCATAGCTACAGAGAACAAACTGATGGTTGCTAGATGGGAGGGGGTTGGAGGGATGGGTGAGAAAGGTGAAGGGCTTAGGAAGTACAAATTGGTAGTTACAAAATAGTCACGGGGGATATGAAATACAATATTGGGGAATACAGTCAATAATATTGTAAAAACTATTTATAGTGTCACATGGGTACTAGACTTCTTGGGGAGATCACTTCATAAATTATATAAATGCCTAACCACTACACTGTACACCTGAAACTAATATAAAATAATATTGAATTTCAGCTATAATTATAAATATATATATATAGTCACGGGATGTAAAGTACAGCATAGGGAATATAGTCAATTGGTATTGTAATAGCTGTGTACAGTGTCAGGTGGGTAGTAGGCTTGTTGGGGTTATCACGTTATGTAGGGTGTAAATGTCTAATCACTATGTTGTTTTGTTGTCTGAAACTAAACAAACAAACAACAACAAAAAACTAATGCAGAGTTGTAAAAGGTCTGGCTAAGCACAGAATGACTTCCCAAGCACAGACCAATTTGCAAAGACTGGGATAGCGTTTCTTCTTTTTTCTTCTTTTTTTTTCTTTTACTGGCTCCAGGTATTTAAATTGTCAAACACCAGCTGACCACTAGGGGCAACACAGATTTCAGTGGACACACATGATAAAGAATGAAGACTTTACAAAAATAGTTTAGAAAAGTAATTAAACAAATAATCCACAACAGCCAACAACAACAAATGCTTGAGAAAGAAGAATATTATTCCCAGAGGTGTCACATTATAATATTCAAAATATCCAGTTTCAACAAGAAAATTATGAAGCATGCAAAGAAAGTATGGCTTATTCACAGGAAAAAATTAATAATGCCTGTGAATACACCATACTTTCTTGAGAGTGATTAGACATTTACACACCTCACAAAGTGATAACCCCAACAAGTCTACTACCCATCTGACACCGCACAGAGCTATTACAATACCATTGAATATATTCCCTACACTGTACTTTACATCCCGTCAACACATTTTTAAAAACTTATCGTTGACATTCAATATTATTCTATATTAGTTTCAGGTATACAGTGTAGTAGTTAGGCATTTATATAATTTATGAAATGATCCCCTACAGGATGTGAGTGGGGTGGGTGGGGCATCTTGCTCACCATGGATAGTCTTGCATTAATTGTTTAAAATATTGCATTAAAATGCGATTTATCTTCACAACTGGGTTTTTTTTTTTGGCATCCCCTTAAATTTTACACCAGAGTCCTGGCCGGGGAAGTGTTGTGTCCTGCACAAGAGGGAAGGGGAGAGTTCACAGAGAAGCAGTGGGAGTGGCTAACAGATCCCTGAGTAGATATCGCCCTTCCCTTGCAGCAAAGGACCAAGAACAAAACAGAGATATTAAGAATATTTAAAAACCCACTCTCCTGGGCTGTTTTCCTGACACATCTCTTCTTCGTATTTTAGTGGAGGGAAAATGGAGAGCATTGGTAGCAGAAAGAACAGCAGGTGGAAGGAGGCGTGTCGTGGGAGCTCGGGAGGGAAGAGGCAAGTCCTCAGAGAAGCAGTGGGAATGGCCACCAGGCCCCTGAGAAGATCCAGCCCTTCCCCGGCGGCAGAGAAAGGCCCAGGAATCCACAAGGGAGGGGCAGCCGACAGGGCCCAGGCTGGTGCCGTTCAGAGGGCCGCGACGGCAGCGGCGGGTTGGGCGCCCAGGGCTCTGCCAGACCCTCCGGAGCAGGAGAGGGGCGGGGCCGCTCGCGGTGACGAGCGCCTCACGTGACCGGCCAAGGCCGACTCCGGCGCGCCTCCCGCCAGCGTCAGAGCCGGCCGTCCCTCGCTGGGTTCTGGGTGTCTGCTCCCGGTGGCCCTGAGGGCGTGCGGGCCAGGGGTGGCCCCGAGAGGAGGAGGAGGAGGCGGAGGCGCAGCGGGAGCGGGTAAGGGACCCGGAGCGGCTCCCTGGGGCTGGTGTGGGGAGCGGACCCCGCCGGCCGAGCCCTCCGGGCGGTCGGGCTGCCCCGGGGCGAAGCAGCGCAGAGACCGCAGCCCCCACGCCCCGCCGCGGCCCCGCGTGTGGCGGCAGAAAATGGTGGGCCCTTTCTGGGGGAGGGCTGGGCGGCCCAAGG